AGGAAGGAAGGAAGGAAGAAAGAAAGAAAGAAAGAAAGAAAGAAAGAAAGAAAGAAAGAAAGAAAGAAAGAAAGAAAGAAAGAAAGAAAGAAAGAAGGACATGACTGCTCCTAGGTATGGTGGAGGATTAAGTTTATTATAGACGTGTGGAAGAGCATGGTCAGAGGCAGGGACATCTGGGAGAGTCCAGAGAGGACAGGACCAGACTGAACTGTAGGAGAAGGGGAGGGGAAGGGAGAGGGGAGAGAGGGGAACCAGGTGCAGCAGCCAGGAGGACAAAGGTCCAAAAGGGGTGGGTAACCAAAATGTCCGGATTAGGGAAGAGCCTCTGGGGGAAGGGCAGTCCAGGCCCTGGGCTGGAGAGTTTAGGGTAGAGGGTGGGGTATGCAAGCCACACCCTGTAACAGGTAGGGACTGAGGGATGCTGGGAGAACCTGGTCCAGCTTTGACATGTCCAGCTTTGACATGTTAAATAGGCACCACAGCTGTTTGTGTGGGTTTGAAACTTAACAGCAAGAAGTTTTCTAAGGGCTGGTGAGGCAGCTCAACAGATAAGGACACTTGTCATCAAGTCCCCTGGACTCACACAGTAGAAGGAGAGAACCAATTCCCGCAGGTGTCTTCGGACCTCTACAAGTGCATGCATAACCATCCACTCTCACACACAGTAAGTAAATAAATACAAAGAACAGTGAAGTTTCATGACAACTGGATACAGATAGATAATGTTGCTTATGGTCTTGGATTTTGTGTGCATGGGACAGTAAATGCAAGTCCCGGCCCCTTGTCTTAGGGATTTTACTTAACCTAACAACACTCTTTTTTAAAGTAAAAATTCTATCCAAGTTTTTAGTAAAAAGTGATCAGTTCTTGGAGTTAGAGAGATGGCTCAGTGATTAAGAGCACTGGCTACTCTTTCAGAAGACTCAGGTTTGATTCTCAGCACCTACGTGGCAGCTCACAATTGTCTATAAGTCCAGTTCCAATGGATCTAACACTGTCTTCTGGCCTCCCTGGGCACTTATATGTGGTCCACAGGTATACATGCAAACAAAACACCCATGCACAAAAAATAAAATACAATGTTCAGTCCTCTAACTAACAAAGCTGTTAGCATCACAGGCTATTCTATGGAATTTAAAGCAATTGGTTCATGGACATGGAACCTCTCATACTTCCTGGGCTTCTTCAGGGGAACTGTGGTGGTTTGAATAGGAATGGCCCCTATAGGCTCATGAATGCTTAGTCATCAGGGAGTGGCACTACTTGGAAGGGATTAGGAGGTGTGGCCTTGTTGGGGTAGGTGTGGCCTTGTCGGAGGAAATGTGTCACTGGGGGTGGACTTTGAGGTTTCAAGAGTCCAAACCAGGCCCAGTGTCTCTCTCTCCCTGCTGCCTGCAGATCTGGATGTAGAACTCTCAGCTACTTCTCCAGCACCATGCTTCCCGCCATGATGATAACGGACTAAACCTCTGAAGCTGTAAGCAAACCCCAATTAAATGTTTTCTTTATAAGAGTTGTCGTGGTCATGGCGTCTCTTCACAGCAACAGAGCAAAAGATCTAGTTCAGGAGTGACCAGTAATACTCCCCCAACTGCCCGTGGATCCTTTACCTCTTCTTTGACCGTGCCAAACTCAGGATCCAGTGCTTTGAAGTGGTACCGGTGATTCCCTTCTCGATCAATAGCTGCTTTAAAATCCTTCAGTGTCACCTCCCCCAACCTGTAACAAAAGAAGAGTGTACCAAAATAGCTTGTTAATCAATAGGCTGGAAAGATAATGTGTTAGCTTTAAACCCAGGCTGCCGCCAAAGTCAACAGCCAGAGATAGCATGGCTTTAATACTAGGTCACCACGGCTCCTGATGACCAATATCACAAAAATACCAGAGGTTGGGCAACCAGTCACCACTAGGAATGAGCATGGCATTATACATCAGGTGATCAGAGAACTCGAATTCATTGCTTTTGCTGTTTTTAATCTGAAAATAAGGTATTTAAAATAAAATTTGTGAAATAACCATAAATACACCTAAGTTTTCTCTGTTTCTCCCATGAGATAAACAGTCCAGTTTTCTTAGGCTGATAAAATTAAATTCAGCAGGTGGGGTTTTGTTTTGACGGGTTCTCACTCTGTAGCCCAAACTTGCCTTGACTTTGCTATGTAACCTAAGGTGACTTGAAATTCACAGCCCTGGCTTAGGCCTCCCGGGTGCTAAGATTACAGGTATGTGCCACCCAGCTCAAGGATCGGCAATTCCTCTATGTTCAGAAAGCTTGCTTCTACCCAGTCCAGTCCAAATGAGCAGACTCCAAGAGAGGAGGACCTCGGAGCCTCTCAGTAGTTGATTTATTGCCTTAAGCAGTACAAGACAAGCACATTACTACTGAGGTACGGGCCCCGCTCCCTTACAGTGTATTTATATCACTGGGAGGAAGCATACTGAACATTTCTGGAACATTTTCCACATACATTCTTTTTTTCTTTTTTTTTTTTTTTTTTGGTTTTTCGAGACAGGGTTTCTCTGTGTAGCTTTGCACCTTTCCTGGGACTCACTTGGTAGCCCAGGCTGGCCTCAAACTCACAGAGATCCGCCTGCCTCTGCCTCCCGAGTGCTGGGATTAAAGGCGTGTGCCACCACCGCCCGGCTCCACATACATTCTTACAGGCACGAGTTGCCATCATCACACAGTAATAAGCATCCACAAGTAAATGACTAAGAGATCATGGCTACCAGAAGGAGCTGTTTTGAACACTTAAAAGAACAAGCTTTTCCAAACTCGGAGTATATTTGTATAGCTATTAGGATAAGAAGTACTGTTCCTGTGGGGCCAGCTGTGGTGGCACATGCCATTAGTGTAGCGAGGCAGAGGCAGGTGGATCTCTGCAAGTTCAACACCAGACTAGACTGATCTACACAGTGAGTGCAGGTGGGCCAGAGCGGCAAAAGGAGACACCATCTCAAAAAACTAAAACAAAACAACACACAACTATTCATTCCTGTGTCTCGCAGTAGATCCTGCTTGTCCTCTATAATGCAAGGTGTGGTGGCACACACCTTTAATCCCAGGACTCAGGAGGCTGAGGCAGGAGGATCTCTATCACCTGGAGGCCAGCCTGGTCTACATAGAGATTTCCAGGCCAGCCAGGGCTACATAGTAATATTTGGTCTCAAAAAAAACAAAAACCAAACCAAATCAAAACCTGCCAAGCCAGAACTAGAACCTCTAGGTTCTGGGTTCTTCCTGCCACACAAGCTGCTCATGTGGCAGTAACTGATTTTCTCCTCCTTTCTTTCTTTCTTTCTTTCTTTC